TCTGCTAGTAAAGAGGCTGCACTTCTTTCATGTTTCACATCCAGTATATTAGTAAAACAATTCAGCAGGAATTTTAGCTTTTTATTTCCTTCAAACGTCTATAACTTTGCTGCAAAAGTTTTAACTAGAACAAACAGTAAAACTTTTTCAATTTTTGCATAGACCAAGACTGCCGTTGTTCCTAGATTAGAAAGAAACCGATCTACAAACCGGTCTTTAGAAAAAGTTTCGTCACTTTGTCTAGTTAGTAGTGGAGTAGTGATGATGCAGTTTGCCGTTTAGATACACGGTTCAATGTTCATTTCCATCCATGTCGAATATGCCACAGGAATCGCCTCACAGTCGGTTTTTTCAATTCATATTAATCAGTATTCGAAAATCGATCTGATTACGGCGAATTTTGTGGGCAACAGCGTTAGTGTATTACTAGACAATGGAAACGGGACATTCGAATATGTATTTTTTGTAGCAGTTGAATGGTTGTGAGACAAGAACAACGGGTGATTGTTTTTTTTCTATTTTATTAATCTGACCGGTTTCGAATTCTTCTTCAGAGGTTAACAAAAAACTGTATGAAATTAATCGGAAGGTCTCTTCTTTTATATATACAAAAAAATATTTTTATACGTCGATATAAAACTAGATAAAAAACTAAATAAAAAGTGATGTAATTGAATGGAATTTCTTTCGATGGTCTGGTGACTGATCGTTCTGCACATGATAGAATGTACACTTGTTTTCTTTCTATTGATATGCATCTGTTATTTGTTTTCTTACTTGCCTAAGTAATTTTTTTGCCTAAAAATGTCCTTATATTCCGGTCCCGGTGTCAATTGTTCATACTCATGCTTTTAAGGTGCAACCTGTCTTGGCTGCCCTTGCCGTCTTGCCGGTTCCAGTTGTCGCACTGATTCCATTCGTCTGAATTGTTCGTATTGTTCTATTGGTATAGTGTATACCGGTGGAATCTGGGAAGTTTGTTGATGTGCCGACATCATCTTTCGTAATAAGATCAATTTTTTGAATTTATTTGTCAAAGCAAATTTTACAATAACATATGCCAATATGAGGGCGACTACCACAATACACATGATTAATGTAATATCCCGCCATGTCGGGTGTACCCGATGGGCAAGATCTTCGAGTTGTTTTGGATGCTCATCTAGGCGTCTGCCTACTTCATTATTGATAACCATATGTAACGTCTCTTTGTGTTTATCGTCGACATGCTGCACCGTCTGTGCGTGAGAATCATGTTTATTACCTCCAAAAAACATGTTCAATTTTTATTCAATAATCAATAATGTATGAATAAATGAATAGAAGGAAAACGTTTTTACTATTAAAGTTGTGCTTTGGTGTTGGCCAGCCTTGGCATTATATACCGCTCTTCTTATCGCTAAAAACATATTTGACATCTCGTTGAGAACATTCTTGGCCTCAAGAATTAAGCAGCATATGAGATGTTCTTTTTTATATGCCTTGGATGTGCACTGTCATACGGTAATACATATGGTTGTGCCGCTAGTTTTCGATAGACTATCGTTCGTGCCGTCGGGCGACGTACAAAGATTGTGACATCCAGATAATTAGCAGTCTTGCTTATTTCATATGTTAATTTTATATGTGGGTCTTTTTCGTTGTAAACTTTTAATCTATCCTCAAGTTTTTCTGGGCGCAGCGCTGCCCATGGCATCTCCCTTTATTTGTTTGAAGAGTTTTTCTCCATATGCAAAATATGAGTTGTCTAACACATGTCGAATCAACTTTGCGAAAGTATCAATTGATATGCTACCAATTTTAAACTTTCTACCCGCTGCTAGTAGTCTACACACCGCGGAAACTGACTGTTTTTGGAGGATCATCGTATACAAATCAGTTACATCAGAAATGGCCAGAATAGTATCTTCAGTCATGAGATACCTTTCGAGATGGTTCAAAAACGCATCTCTATTCTGTAATGTATAATGAACCGTATTCTGTTCAAATATCGGTCTCAATGTTTTGTCTAAAAAGTGTGATATACAGGGATTTTAAGTGTGATTACAGGGGATTTTATATGCGCTACTATTGGTCTCAATGGTGCACCTGGTTTATGGTCTTTCGTGTTATAATATACACGGTGCCACATAACCTTTGCCTCCCTCCTTCTACAACCTAAAGGACAGATAATATCAGAAAGTATTTATATCAGGTTAAAGCCCATGAAAAACTGGATTTATGAGTGTAATTGATATTCCGTGTGATGCTTATTGGCTGTAGAATTATGGAAGTTTCTATCGCGTGTGTCAATTCTAGTATAGTGTCAATTCTAGTACGACAATTTTTAGTTATATTTTGTAGCTATACTTATGCAACGTATTTTCAGTTGCTCTTTTTCTAGTACTTTGACGTGCTTTGTTTAATACAAAATGAGCATACTAAAAAAAAAGGGAGATTCCGAAATGTTTGTAA